GTCGAGATCCACCCAGCTGTGTGATTGACAGCTGGCTCTGCCTATCTAGAGGCAGAGCCAGCTGTACCCTCCCCCGTCCGTTCCGCCAGTCAGCGCTGGAGGATTGGAGCGGGGAGGGGGAGAATCCCTGCAGGGAGCCGTGAGTGACAGTCACGGCTCTCTGCAGGGACATGATCGAGAAGTGAGCGAGCGACGCCGGTATGTGTTCGCTCACTTCACAATCTATTGAGCCGACCTGTGACAGTTTCATTGTTACACATCGGCTCGAACTATGAGGTTGAGTGAAAATCACTCACCTCATAGTTGTCCTTTAATACCTCTTGTGGCTATTGGGTAATACTGTATATTTGAATGAAAGTTTTAGTGAATGGAGTCCAGCTTTAAAGGGTATGTCCAGGCATTACCCACAAACCTTTCTCTATAGATCATGCCCTTGTTCCTGTAGCAAGAAACAGCTTTTCCTACTGTGACCTCATCACCAGTCATGTAAAATTCTTAAAGGGGAAGCTGCTGGAAGGTCAGCTCCTACTGATGTGGGTACACCCCCAAAACTGCATCTCCCAAGAGCTCTTTCCCTTTATACAGTGTTGGTGGGCACTCAGGAGGGCAGCAGCATTGTTTTGCTGGGAAATAAATCAATGTAGGCATCTGAAGAGGGGCAGAGAAGGGTGAGAAATAGGCGACGTAATGTAGTCCAGCTGGCACGTTTGACAATGTTATTCAAAATTATAGTTTAGCAAAGGTACAAATGCTCATGTAAATAGGATAGCCGAGGAAAGTGTAGAACAACGTGTTGTGAAATTGAGCATAGGGAGGCTGCATGGTTTCTGCAATACTGGGCGTCATTTCCGCATTTTGCAATAAGCCATTAAAAAATTGCTGAGCTTGCCAAAACGTTTTCTTGTTGGACCATTTAATGGTTCCACACTTTCATTGAATCACTAGACTAGCCCACACAGACACCTCTGAGCTCCTTATCATGTGCTCCAAGCTATATTGCAGACACATGAGTCGGAGGAGGATGTGGTAAAGTCTTCCCGGAAGCGGCTGAGCTGAGTGCTGTTAGCAGCCTTCCAGAACAGATAAAAGCTTCCTGATAGTCGGAGAACAAGCTGCATAGCCACATAAACATGTCTGTGTCCAAGTCCCGTAAAGTGCTGTGCAATGGTTCACGTAGACGGCACACAAACAGGATGCCCTGTGTCGTACTAGCTGAATGTTTACGAACTTTATAAAGTTATGTTGTTAGAGTTGGTGGGGATAACATTTGAGTTTAACTGTCCCAGGGCCCTTCATGTGGTCCAAACCTAAGAAAAAGCAGCAGTTAGTCAAAGTATATGTTTAGGTAATGCCTATAACACTTATTCATGGTAGTCCGAGACCACAACCTAAGGTGCCTTCAAGTCAAAGAGCATAAGTTGTGGTCTTCATGGTAGTCCGAGACCACAACCTAGGGTGCCTTGATGTCTAAGAGCATAGGTTGGGGTCTTCCTGGTAGTCCGAGACCACAACCTAGAGTGCCTTCATGTCTAAGAGCATAGGTTGCGGTCTTCATGCTAGTCCGAGACCACAACCTAGGGTGCCTTCATGTCTAAGAGCATAGGTTGTGGTCTTCTTGCTAGTCCGAAACCACAACCTAGGGTACCTTCATGTCTAAGAGCATAGGTTGCGGTGTTCCTGGTAGTCCGAGACCACAACCTAGGGTGCCTTCATGTCTAAGAGCATAGGTTGCGGTCTTCATGCTAGTCCGAGACCACAACCTAGAGTGCCTTCTCTTCTAAGTCCGTAGGTTTTGGTCTTTGTGTTAGTTCCAGACCACAACTTGTGCACTTAGAAGCAAAGGCACCTTCTTCCTTGCTGGAACTTGCTCTCATTTGAGGCCCACGGGAGACATATGTGTGACTATGTCTGTCAGTTGACCTGTGGGAAGGGTGACAATGCTGTAGCTAATTCAGAAGTACTTTGAGAGCCATTTCAGAGGAAGAACTTCATAACGGGTCATAGTGGCAGAATCAACAGGTGAGACATTGGGGATAAAAGAGGAAAAGTAGGTATTTTATAAAAGTACACCTTGAGGAATGTGCTATTCACACTTAAAATTGTAATTTTGATCACTGCAAGGATCCTCTGTGACGACTCACTATGTCTATACCGCTACATGCTATTATGACAATCAACAACTGTACTTGTTTGCATCCCTATTTGTTGATATGTGACGATATTTTCTTCTTAAAACCAATAAAAATTTGCTTGGTTAAAAAAAAAATTACATTTTGTCTGGACATACAATTTAAAGTATTGCCCAAAAGTGACCCTCAAACTTCTCTCTCTAGATCATGCCCCAGAATTATTTTTTTCTTCTACCTTCTTCCCTGTAAGCAAGAAAGCGTTTACTACTCCCTGTGACATCATCACCAGACTTGCAAAATTCTTCCAAAAAAAGCCGCTGGGAGGTCAGTTCCTGTTAATGAAGACATGCCCCCAAAACTACATCTTCTAAGAGCCATTTTCTTACACGCGGGGCCAAGAGGGACAGGAAGTGGTTAGAGATAAGCAGAGTATTGTAGCCCAAGAGGCAGCCCAAACAGGAAGTTAGGAGCTCTTTGGATTTCTGGCTTATCAGTGGGTAATGTTCTGTACTCATTATGGATTCGTTTCCTTAGAAACTGAAATCTGTACTCTCTTTTTGGAAACAATTTCTTGCATAATATTTGGCAGGATGGGCACTCTTTCTAGTTTATGAAAGGAGACTTTCTAAAAGGGTCACACATATTAAACCAACTGTAATCTGTATGTGTTTCAACAGATCCTATTTATTCTGGGTTCCTAGCTGCTACTTGCATTGAGAAATTTTGACGTCACTGAAAGGTGTCGGAAATCATTTTGTGCAGAGGCACTAATGATTTAAACTGCACCAGTAAGATCTGTGGTAAGAGACGGACATTTTTTAATCTTGTACCTATAGTGGGCAACATAGTGGCGTAGTGATAGTGCTTCTGCTTTGCAGCACCGGAGGTCCCTGGTTCGAATCCCAGCGAGGGTTGCTATTTGCAAGGAGTTTGCATGTTCTCCCTGTGCTTGCGTGGGTTTTCTCTGGGTACTCCGGTTTCCTCCCACACTCCAAAAACATGCTGGTAGGTTAATTGGCTTCTCTCTAAGTTGGCCCTCTATATATGCATGTGAGATATGGACCTTCGATTGTAAGCTCCTTGAGGGTAGGGACTGATGTGAATGTGCAACTATGTAAAGTGCTGCGTAAATTATCGGGGTTGTATAAATACCTGTAATAATAATAATAGCTCCTAATGACTTGTGAGACTGACCTTTTATTGAGCCCACAAAAAAAACCTGTGCATGCTAGACAGGTACACTTTAAAGTTCTGAAGACGGGACTCTGTTTGTTAACAACAAATGCCTTTGCCATATGTCGAAATACTTCTATGTGTTTGTTGCTCAACTGTGTTTTGACAGTGTGTGTTTATCAGTCTTGCACTGTTTACAAGCACCATTTGGCTGGCAGGGGATTATGTAATGAAAGTAAAATTAGACCAGGGACGGAATGCTCTGTAAGCTATCCCTATTGATTCTGCATGTGCATCCTGTAACCTGTCCTCACTGTCATCTCGGTACATAGCGTATTCAGATGACTGGAAAACAATGTAGCTTCAAACCTTTTTTTTTAATAAAGCAGCCCCGTTGGTAACCCAAAATGTCAACATAACAGTTTCCTTTTTATCCAACTACTTCCCCTTCTTTTGGAAGAAATTTGCCCCCATTAATCTAACTGTCCGATACATGTGGAGAAATGTGAACTCTCACTCCTGCATTTGGCTGTTCCTCCTTTTCAGCACATCAGAGCTGAGCTAGCTGAAAGCAAAGTTAAAAAAAAACATGAATCCCATGATGCAATGGAACCTTACCATCTTTCTCTCTGTATAAAGTGTGTAGTCAACCAGCGTGATGTAGGTAGTACAAGAGGCGTGCGATGACACAAGATTTTTTTAGGGTGTATTTGTACAGGACTGCATACTGTATTAGCTGAGGATATTGCAAGGACAGCAAGTCAATGTTTTTTTATCTATAGAACACTTGAATGGACACAGCAGCTGCAGAATGTAGTACAAGTGTCTTCAGAATGCAAATATGGGTGCAACAGCTACAGAATGTAGGGGTCTACAGATTGCTTATATGAGCTCAATAGATTCAGAATGTAGTGTATGGATCTACAGAATGATTATAAAGGCACAACTGCTACAGAATGTAATATAGGTGTCTACCAAATGCTTATGAGTTCAACAGATACAGAATGCTTATATGGCCTCAACAGATACAGAATGTAGCATAGGGGGGTCTATAGAATGTGTATATGGCCTCAACAGATACAGAATGTAGTATAGGGCTCTACAAAATGCTTTTATGGCCTCAACATATACAGAATGTAGTATAGGGGTCTACAGAATGATTATATGGCATCAACAAATACAGAATGTAGTATAGAGGTCTACAGAATGATTATATAGACACGAGTGCTACAAAAGGTGGTATAGGAGTCTACAAAATGCTTATATGGGCTCAACAGATAGAGGATATAGCATAGAGGTCTACAGAATGCTTATATAGACACAATAGCTAAAGAACATAGCATAGGTGCCTACAGAATGCTTGCGTAGCTGCAGAATTTATTAGTGGTAAACAATTGTATGGACAAAATGGCTACAGAATATAATATCGGTGGCTACAGTTACAGAATCGTAGTGAAGGTGTCTACAGAGTGCTTCTATGGACACACTTTTCTACCAAGTCTGCAAGTTCCTCTGACAACCATCAACATCTGACCATTTCAAACTGAGCAGAATAGATACTTCATACTGCAGACCCAAGGATACAAGACAGGTCATCAGTACAATCTGGAAACATTTATTTTTGTTGCCAAGACTGTAGATTTGGATTTTGCAAATGAGCACTGAATGTCAAGTTAAATATCATATATCTTTCCTTAGGTCGCTGTGAAGTCCATCCAGAAAGACAAGATCACAGATGAACTAGACAGAGTGCACCTTCAGCGGGAGATAGAGATCACAGCGCTGCTGAAACATGAGCACATTATTCAGGTCTTCGAAGGTCAGTGCAAGCCTGGGGCATATGTCATACATAACATATCACATTCAGAGGCTTCCCTGGGCACTCAGGAATCCTTCACTCAGTAGGATTAAGCGGACCATTTTTGAATGGAGACGTGTGTCCGCCATGCCAGTGAATGATTGACACCTGGCCGAGCTGTCTGTGGTGAAACCAGCTAATGATCATTAATTACTCTGCAAATGGAATCCTGACCATGTCACACATCAAGGAGCTTTACAGCAAATGCTTTTGGTTTATTAGAACAAAGTGCACAAAGCAGAGAGTAGAGATCCACTTATAAACTCAACTGTTAGGTGGGTTCTGTCGGGAAAATACACATTTCTCAAGGTTATTTTATCTATAATGGTGTCGGTTTAATCTGTGCAGAAAATGAGGAATGCAGAAAATCTAAATTTCGACATAATTCCCCTTACTTTTACATACTACATTATACGGATTCAAATGCAGAATGATTCCAAAATGTTGGTGGTGGAGCACTGGACTCCAAGCTTGGAGGAGGTTCCATATTAATGAAAAGATTGCTATAGTGTTGCAGCTAATTACTGCCCGGTGGAACCCAAGGGGGGTCCCTGGGAGGGTCAACTTGCTTGGAATAAAAAGGATGATTGCCAAGCTGTAAGGATCATATGAATTTGTTGCAATTAAAGGGCCTATCAGGAGGTGACAGCCAATACATTTCAGGGGTTGTGCACCCATCCCTCATCAGCAGGGCAACAATATAACATATACATAACACTATACAACTTGTATAAAATTTTATTATAGCCCTGATGAAGAGGGATCTGTACATGACACCCAACTTTTTCTGGGGGTTAACACCCAATAGACCCTTTTAGTGTAATAAAACATCGGATCTGGACTTATTTGTGTGGCTCGGTGCTTTCATTCTTTAATTCCATACAAGCAAACATAAAATGAGACAATAGTTGTGTAGTAACGCAAGACCATATCTTGCTCTGTGTTTACATGCTATTGGATGGTCTCTGCAGTGGCACATTACTGTAGGGTAGGGATGCACCAATACCAGTTTTTCGGTATTGAGCACAAGTACTGATATTTATTTTTTTTGCGTACTCGCCGCCAACCGAATACCGATACCAGAAGTCCCGTTAAGCAAGCCAGGCGGCGTGTAATGACTCACCACCTGGCTTCCTGACTAGCCGGGAAGCCGGGCGGCATGTAAAGACTCGCCACCCGACTTCCCGATTAGAAGGTAAGCCGTCTCAATGCTCCCTCGTCACCATGTGACGAGGAAGCATGGAGTCTACTCTCTGGACAATCAGGAAGTTGGGGGCGGGTAATGACTCGCCGCCTGGCTTTCTGATTGGCAAGCTTCTCAACCAATCAGGAAGCCAGGCAGCGAGTCATTACACAGCGCCCGGCTACCTGCATGCTCCCTCAGCACCCGGTGACGAAGGAGCATGAAGCCGGCTTTATGGCCAATCAGATAGCCGGGCGCTGTGTAATGACTCGCTGCCTGGCTTCCTGATTGGTTGAGAAGCTTGCCAATCAGGAAGCCAGGGGGAGGGTAATGACTCGCCATCTGGCTTCCTGACTGACCAGCTTCCCGACCAATGAGGAAGCAAGAGGGTGAGTCGTTACATACTGCCCGGCTTCCTGATTGGCTGGGAAGCCGCTCCATGCTCCCTCGCCATCAAGTGACGAGGTAGCATGGAGCCGCCTTCCTGGCCAATTAGGAAGCCGGGCAGCATGTAATGACTCGCTGCCCGGCTTCCTGATACCAGAAGCTCGGGTATCGGGCTAGGCATCGGAGCATTTGGGAGAGTACGAGTACTCGCCCAAATACTTGGGTACTGTTGCATCGGTATCGGTGCATCCCTACTGTAGGGGTATTCTGCTTAGCAGTCTTGACCCTTAAACCTAAAGCAGACTGAACACAAAAAGTTTTCAAAAGCACTGCAAGTAAAGCTGCAATTTTTGGTTAAAGTGACAGTAACCTCAGGAGTTAAATCTGAAAAATACATTCAAGTACCTTAACTATAAACAACAATGTATCTTATTTGTGAATCACTCGGCTGTAGATCCTCCAATCATCTCTGAATTGGTGCTGACACCGTCCTTCCTTCTGGAGGGGGGCTACTTTTGTTCCCGATGGTCCCTGTGTGTGTTGTAAAGTAGTCACCGCTCCAAGCTCACTCCCGGGATGGACTACAATACCAATGCAAATGAGTAAACTAAACGTGAGATTGTATCATGAGGATCCCACTAAGCTTTGTTTTTATATTTTGCCTATACAAGTCCTTCTAGCGTAGTTTACTAGGAAAATCCTGCTCATGAAATATTATTTACTGCCGCTCTTGGCCTGGATTTGCAGGCGCAGGTCACATAAATCCCGCTATGAAGGCAGTATAATGAATCCTTTGAAAACGCAGCATTATAAATGTCATAGTGATCTTTTAAAAGCAGCAGTCACAATGGTATAACTTCCTTCAGGAACGTGCGCCGGTCACATACCGGTCTTGTTACAGGCGAATTTAAGACCGAGAACAAATTGTAACAGCTAAAAAAGATCACGACGAGGTGGAAGTATAAAATTAAATTTCACAGTCCCGTCACGGGGCAAAACCAGAATGTCTGGGGTGGGGTATGTGGATAACCGATTATTAAAGCTTGTTGAAACTCTAGGAGTCTGTTACGGCATATCCATTATGAACTTTGAATTTTAAAGGAGGACCATGATAGAAATCTGTTTTTTTGCAAACTCAACTCAAAAAAAATAAAATTGCGTCCAATTATCTTTGCATTCCACAGATTCTGGATCGTAAAGTAGATATAAACCTAATCCGTAAAATATCATATTAGCTTTAATATGTTAATAGAGTTTCAAACGTTAATTTGAATATTTTCAAATCTGCAGCTTTCATTAAAATAATACTCGGTGATCCTGCCGTGACGGTCCTTGTCCAGGCACTTCCTGTTACAGAGTGACAACGCACTGCCCCCGTCTTCCAGTCGTGCATCTGTGTTGTCACCCGGTCACATGGGCTTCTGAAGGAGACTACAAGATGGTGTTTCAGCAAACCTTATGCAGACATTGTCCACTGTAGGAATTACACCCTGCCAAATGGCATGCAGCTATCGTTGGAGTGCATGTACAAAGAAAGTGATGTCACGACCGGCTCCGCCCAGTTGTTGTTTAATGACAGATCAGCATCCCCAGGTCATTTGGGGACGCTGATCTGTCATTACAAGGGGGCGGAGCGAGACGTGTGATCCTGGCTGGCTCCGCCCAGCTGTTATTAGTATGTCACTACGGCTCAGCTGTATTGTGAAATAGCCCGTACAGCACCCCTTCGGTTCTTCTGAACCGAAGGGCTCAGGCAGCCGAAGCGAGGCGAAGGATCAGCCAAAGCTACGGCTGGATTCTTCGGCTCCATCGTGAATAACCCCCTAAATGATTTTTTTTTTTTTTTTGTTATTTTGTATTTTTTTTTTTTTGCTCCAGCAAACCCTCCCGCCGCCCCCCTGTAATCCATTTTCCAAAGACGTGTCTCTCCTGCTGAAGCCACCTGGGATATACATGACACATATCCTAACAGGCATCGGCTTCCATACTGGTGATGGAGGTGGTCAGACCCTGTGCTGGAGGAGGGTGGACTTGGCACACATCATCAGGGAGCCAGGCTGCCTGAATTCGGAAAAAAAAGGTGAAAAAATGGTGGCACGGGACGAGGCTTGCGACGACAGAGCCAGCGATTACCAGAGAACAACGCAAAATTTGCTCGGCATGTTTTGTCCCATCAGCTATTTTTTTGCCATCTGTGTCCCATTAGGGAGATTTCCCTTCACTTCCTGTTCAAACACTACAACAGGAAGTGAGGGAAATCCCTGGCAGGGTCACCAGAACTAGTGTCCCCATTGGAAGATTTCCCTTTTATTCCTGTTCTGATGACAACCCAACAACTGGGACCTTCCGATGGGTAACGGACACTAGGATAAATAGAGAGGTTGAATCTCCCTAATGGGGACACAGCAATAAAAACCTGACAGGCCTTCTAATACCCCTGCATTCTATTCAAAACAAACACAAAAATGTTTTGGCTTCAGTTGCACTTGCATGCTTTTGATCAATTTCCTCTTCTGTTATTCGGAAACGTTGCCTAAAACCTGCTTCTTGTATTCATTCAACAGTATTCGAGAGCTCAGAGAAAATTATCATTGTCATGGAGTACGCCAGCAACGGGGAGCTCTATGATTTCATTAACAACAAGCACCAGATCCCAGAGAGCGAAGCCCGCAGATTCTTCCGCCAAATCGTGTCCGCCGTACACTACTGCCATAAGGTAATTAGGGGCGTAATGATCAGGACGGACCTGAGATCACATGATTAAAGTGTACCTGTTGTTTAGAGACAGAACACACATTGTAAAGGAGAAGGGTGAGCGAAGGTGGCAGCGAGTGTATGAGTAATGGAGATACCAGTGTGCTTTAGGTGATTGCCAAGCCCAAACACTGTACCAAATAAACTTTGCTTCCTTACGAATTAAATGTCTATTTATATTAAAGGAGCTGTATAGTCCCAGCATCTCCTCTCCTGTTATAACATCAGCATTGTAATAGGAACACATAGTAGAGTTGTTTTCTGATAATGCAGCCAAAGCTTACATGAAAAAATCCCTTTTATGTAGCGAGTGCTGCTTTCAGTCTGCCCATCACTTTCACCAACTTCCTGCATTCCCAGTGTGCTTTGCATCTCTTTCCCTGCTGCCCGATGTGATGCAATCTTCATTTCTCAACACTACATATCCCATCATGCATTGCCTCCAGCAAGCAATGATGATGTTACATTGTTCAGACGTTGAGTTGTAGTTGAGAAGGCATATTCAGGGGGCTGAGTAACTTTTTGCACGTGAATTGAAGAAGTACATCCTATGGGCATCTGCAATAGGTAAGTTTACAAACTTCTGGATGGATCTGGTTATTAGGAGTGGGATAGAACCTATGGAAATTCAATACAGAGATACAGATTTATTTTTAGTTTGTGACCATAGATACTTTTTAAATATTGGAATTAGGGATGTTCAGATACCAGTTCAGATACCAGTGCCGATACTTGGGATTCTCATGAGAACTACCAGGGTTGCCGTGGTTGCAGCTGGGACCGGGCTCTGGTGGCGCTCCACCACTGTCCTGAAATCATTAGTCGATATTATTTTAAAAAAAAATCATACATTTAACAAGGATGCCCAAATCCCAGGAGCTCCGTGTGCTCCTTACAAATGACAGCTGCCTCCTAACTTTGAGTTTTAGTCTAGTCCTGGAGCTAAAAAGTTTCTGTACTTGTACTGAGTATGGTACTTTGGTATCTGAACGTCCCTAATCTGAATATGATATTATTATATTTTTACTTTCGAGACACTGGTTGGAAGGAAGTGAATGTTCTCTCAAAGGCTTCCCCAATGTGATATAAATGCATCTGAAAGAACATTGCATTTGCACATTTACACTGTACAGGACCCACCTACTTCCACATCGTAATAATTGCTGTGCAACCTGCTACTATTGCTCATTGATATTACACATACAAGCACTAGCTTATTGAGTCACAGGAGTCGAATTGGATTTATATTCTTTGGCTACTGGATAATTTTTTGTGCCCTTAGTTGTTGCAAAGCAAGGAACCCCGGTCATTCAGCTCCATCTTCTACCCTCCAAGATCCCCATCTTAATACATTTCTGATGGGAACAAAGTATAGTCTTAGCCTATTACGGCCGGTTCATGATTCTCCATTCTAATGTGAGCCTTGCGGATTTGCCAGCACACACATTGCTAAAGATGACGGGACGCCAGAGGTAAACCTCTAACACGCGCCGCGTCTTTTCTAGGCAATAAAACCATTCCTCCGCTGACATGTGGTCGTCACATCAGCAGGTTTTATTAAATGACCACATCCTTTCCTGGGGTCATCTGAGTACACAATGAGAATGCTCTAACCAATATGCGCACTGATGTATTTGGTATTCTATATGTTTGTTGTTCAATAGATCTGCAAACTCGTTAACAGCGCCTTGTTTCTAATAACTATATTTTATTTCTTGTTTATAGTTTATATTTCAACATTTTTAACTTGTATAAGCAATAGCTGTTGTCCATAGCAGCCAATCAAATTCCTAGTTTTCATTCTAACAGATTAAAGAATGGTTGATAATATATAAGGGGCGATTCAATAAAACATTTGCGACACTTATATGGCAGTGTGGCTGTACTAGAAAGTCCTGGGCCAATTTGTTGCATGGATAGGAGAAGGATTTCTAATGAGTATCTATGGCACACTTTAAGAATTCCAGGAATAATTGGGTTCCATGGCTGGCGGCCATGTTTTAAGTAGACAGTGCATGTAGTAAATGAATAGTGGCACTCTTACAGTGCAAGGCATGAGTTCCAAATGTGTGCCAAACCTTTCCCGGGCACTTAGAGAACTAAGAAAACTGTACTGGGCTGAATAGGATAAGAGATGGGTATTTAAAGTGTATGACAGCCAAAATGTAAAAAAATAATATATATATATATATTTATTTAGTACACCACAGTACATACCACCCCTATGTTCCCTATGTTTCATCACTTTAAAAATACTACAAGTGCAATACAATATCTACTGATCTGCCAAAAATCCAGTGAGCTCACACCTTCCTTCTGGCGCTCATATTGCAATGCCTTTGCTTCTCTTTAGCAGGGTAGAGGAAGAGATGAAGACTAGAGTCCCTATCAGATTTTAATCTCTGCCTGTGGCCCATGTTTCAGATTTCTCCTAACTTATCAGCAGGGCAGGAAGTAAGGGTAACGGAGCCACTCATTGCAGCAAAAACCCAACAGGAGTTCTAATTCTCCCCACTTTATGAAAAATCTAGAATGAACAGTTTTTGGCTTGAGGTACATTTTAATGGGCTTTTGTTCCGCCTCAAAACTGCTTGTCTCCCCAAACAATGGAAATGCAAAAACCACAGGTTGACGCAGATTAGAAGGAGGCCAAAAGCAGGTCAGGAGGAGGAGGTCAAATGTTGATGAAGGATCTCAAAAGATCAAATGCACCTGAGAGCAAGCTGCCTGTGGACACAAGCCCTATGAACTCTTTCCATAGCAATGACATGAAGATGAGAAGTTGGCATACATATAGGGCTCATTTGAAATGTCTCCAGAAGAAGTGTCACTATTACTGGTGGTTGCCGCAAATGTGGCTTAATGGTTAGCACAATTGCCTTGAGTAATGGGGTCCTTGGTTCAAGTCTTGGTCAGGATACTATCTGCATGGACCTAGCATGCTCTCTCTATGCTTGTGATGGTTTCCTCCCAAAGACATGGACATTATCTGGATGGAGCTTGCATGGGTTGCCTCCCTCGCTCCATAGATATGGACATTATCTGGATGGAGCTTGCATGGGTTTCCTCCCTCACTCCATAGACATGAACATTATATGGATGGAGCTTGCATGGGTTTCCTTCCACACTCCAAAGACATGGACATTATCTGGATGGACCTTGCATGGGTTTCCCCCCTACCTGCCAGACACATTCTGGTTGGTTAATTGGCTCCTGTCTAAAAATTGTTCATGATATTATACCAAGAACTCCCAAGATGGCTGCCCCAACAGCAGATAAATGTATTTATATGTTTCCAGGGAGAAAAGCGCTATATTAAATAAACAAAAAATGTAAAGGAAGCCTGCTGGACCTCAAGAACCAGGAGTTCTTCAGATATTCAATAGGAAAATGCTGTTTTGCCATCTGATTATAAAACGATTCCTAGTAGAGAGCTTTAATAGCCTGAATGAATGTGAACAACAAGACTTGGCAACGCAGAAAGTGCAGAGGCTTCTGATTTAGTGTATTTATCTATTGATCGGTGTTTAATATACACAGAAATATCTGGTGTTATGGAACAGACATCCTTGTTAGGATTTCAGATGGTTTGAAAAAGTAAATATTGAGCTGTGAATCAGTGGTATAGAATGTACGTATGCGATGCTTAGGATATTTATACAGGATGACTGGGGTATGAAGTTTATTTCAGGACTTGGCAAGAGAGGAATTTGCAATTGGCTGTCTCCGCAGAGATTAACTAAGCTTCAGCAGCGTCTGCACCACACCGATTCCCTTCAGCAGATTAAAAAGCCATTTCTCTCAATGATGAGGCAATAGGCACTCGAAGAGGTGGCTGGTTTTTGAAGCATTGCTGTACTTGTAATTTCAAGGCTGCCAAAGCCTGAACTATTGAGCAGTCATAACCATCTATGTCTTAGTCATGTGACCATGCACTGGGTGGGTCTGAGTTAAGCACATTTTAACACCAGCATTGAAAAATGTCTACTGTGCAATCATACTTTAAGGTGTAAATATTAATCTACAACATTTCTTTACATTTTGGATATCGTGGTAAGGGGTTTAAGCCTAATCAGGCGTTTATTCTAGTTTGATGGATGGGAACACTGCATTAGCAAACTTTTTTAATGAACAATATCTGCCATGATGCCATGGACATTATCTGAATGATATTTGCATGAGTTTCCTCCAGTACGCCAAAGGCATGGACATAATCTGCATGGAGTTCGCATGTTCCCTGAATGCTTGCGTGAGTTTCCTTTCCACATGCTAAAGACATGCTGGTAATTCAATCAGCTCCTGTCTAAAAACTGGACCTAGTATGTTGAGGCATGCCTAAAAATTGTTCCTAGTATGGTGAGGCATGTCAGAGAATTGGTCCTAGTATGGTGAGGCATGTCAGAGAATTGGTCCTAGTATGGCAAGGCATGTCTAAAAATTGATCCTAGTATTGTGTGGCATGTCTAAAAATTTGTCATAGTGTGCTGAGGCATGTCTAAAAAATGGTCCTAGTATGGTGAGGCATGTCAGAGAATGGGTCCTAGTATGGTGAGGCATGTCTAAAAACTGGTCCTAGTGTGGTGGCATGTCAGAGAATTGGTCCTTGTATGGTGAGGCATGTCAGAGAATTGGTCCTAGTATGCTGAGGCATGTCAGAGACTTGGTCCTAGTATGGTGAGACATGTCTAAAAATTGGTCCTAGTATGGTGAGGCATGCCAAGATGGCTGCCTCAGCATCTGTCCCAACAGCAGATAAAGTGCTTTAGGTCTCCAGGCAGGAAAGCGAATATATTAGTAAAAAGAGAACTAAAGCCAAAATTCTTTTGGCTTTAGTCCACTTTTGGGTCAAAGGAGAATATATTTACTAATGTACTCCTGTGACCCAAAGTCAGCATCTAACAGGCCAATGTCTGCTATCTGCTGACCGCGCAGAGCCATGCTGCAACCGGGAAAGCTCCCAAC